GAGTGCAGTGATCATGCATGTAGTGAATGGCTATGTAATGGATGGCTAAACAGAATCATCACGTGTTGCGGTGGCCATATATAAACCGTAATTGTGCTATTGGAATGGGAGAAGTGATTGGTTTCATAATTTTTTGCTACGTATTTGTTAGTGTGATATGCCTAATTTTAGGTGCTGACAACATGGTTATGATGACAATGACTATAAAAACCAATGTTTCTGGTTAGATCTTAGTGTTATTACTATTTAAAATTATAAAACCATGTCTATGTAACGAGGACAAAAGCTTTTGTTTCCAAATCATTATAGGGCGCCCTGATGTTCTAGTATCAATGATACTTGCAATTTGTTTTGATTATATTAATACTCCACGACAATATCTTTTTGTAAGTTTTATTTGAAATAAGTTATTATATTTTGATGGAATCATATGAATACTAATAATTCAATTTTATTCACATTTTTGTTTTTGTAAAACAATATTATTACACATACAAATCTTCAATATAGGAAATTCGACATCTTAAGTGCCACGATACAGTGTAGACTAACAATTGTTTATGCTAGGAGCCTAGGACACATAATCAATAGAAACTAAAAAATTGAACAAATGATACAAGCATTAGAGTTTTAAAATAATATGTGTATAAAAAAATTACAACAACTAATAAAATCAAAAGTTGGAAACTAAAATATATATTCATGATCAGAAAGGAGTACAACAAGAGCTTATACAATTTAATTAAGATTAGGTTTCAGTTAAATATATATCATGATATAAAAAAAATGAATTCCTAGGAATTCTAAGTAGAGGTCCTAAGAAAGTCTCTATGTTAGTACTCACGAGATTTGTGAGGAAAAAGGATAACCCATAGAAATTCTCACAGAAATAAGAAAAAATCGGGCCTTAAGTTTGATATATAGCCACTAATCATAACTGATAATAACAGCCATTGGATCTATTCTCTTTACTAAATAATTACGCACCTTGACAGTTATAAAAAAACAACATAAAGGAACTTATAAATTGGTATAGGAATTACCACCTATACCATGTCTGATAGATAATCTAAAGTAACCTTAAGTTTGTATCTAATTATCTAGCTACCATTATGATAGATAATCTAGGTAACCCTTTAATTTGCATGTAAATACTAAAAAAATTAAATATCCTCTTAAGTTTACATATGTATTACTAGCATTTGATGTTAGAAAAATGTTTAAATAACCATATATTGTGTGAACACACACATTCTAAATTACCATGTTCTAATAAAATTAATATGTTTAGAATTGTTAAAGTAAACATAATGTAGTTCCATCATATAGATTCACTGCACATGCATGCATAAGCAATGAATAATGTATGTGTTAATGTTTAAACAATCATGGCAAATATTTCCTTAACGACTCATATATATATATATATATATATTATACTAACATATTCTTTTAAATTGTATTATGGTATATAGTTTAATAATTCGTTAGTCTAGATAAATTTGTATATTCTAACCGAAGTGTTTGATATATCTGCATCGATAGTATAATTAATTGGGAGACTCTATTTTTTATAATAAACCAACATGACTACACATATCTTTGACAAGAAATTGAAATAATCTTGAGATGTGGGGAGGTTAGTTTAGACTAAGGTGGCTAGTTCTAGTTAGTGAGATGCGCAGTATAGTTTACGAGCATTAGTTTATTTGCTTTACTGATGATATGAGTAGGTTTGGCCTACCTGACCATATTCATCACATTTTTTTCTTTATATATACTCCCTCCATCCCACAAATCAGTTCGTTTTGGACATGATTTAGGATACCAAGGAGCAATTAAGTAGAGTGTATTTTTCCCTGTATGCCCTTATTAAATAGGGCTGTGGGTATCATTTATACACTAACCGTGCGTAGCTGGGATGGTATGCACGCTGCCTCCTGATCTAGGAGGCCTCAGTTCGATCCCTACCACGCTCGGCCTTTTTGCAAAGGTCACGAATTTTGCATGGCAATTGTGCACTCGGCCGCGTTTTTCGCCTTTGCCCGCGTTTTTTTTTGTATGGCACTGTGCGCGCGCGTGAATTTTATTTTATTGGCTTGCCCGGAGTATTTGCGCGCGTATTGGCCTTGTATTCGCGCGCGTATTCACGGCGTACTGGCGCGTTTCCGAGCGACGCTTGGTTTCTGCACTCGTACTATTAATAAAACAGAGCACTCGTTCAATGCCCGTCCTCGTCTTGCATGCAGTCATGCGCTAGCGCCGCTCCGCGTTAATGACCCGTGCGGGAACCGAAGAGGCCGGGGCAAACTCGTCTACTTTAGCCGTGGTCCACTCAAAACGAACAGATATGTGAAAACTGATCTACAGCCCAGAACGAATTGATTTGTGAAACGGAGGGAGTATGTGTGGTTGATTGAGCTGAAGCTCATGTGACCATCATGTGACATGTGAACATGCATATACCTTGAATCGATGCATGTCATTGTTGGGAAGCCCGACAATAACCGGCCATCACATGCATCGATACGAGCAGAGGGAAAGATTTTAGGTCTGGCATTGTGTTTGTGTGGGTTGCGTTCCCCTATGTTCTCCTCCATTATTCAGTACTGCTCCTACATGAGTACTCCACTACCGACGTCGTCAGTCCACCGCCACCACGAATACTACGACAGTGTTTCTTCTCGCTCGCTAATGGAGCCATTAAATATTTTCATGTGGTGTCGTGCATCATTAGATACTCTATCGTAAGATAAATCAAACATATGGTCACATAGCTAGATGATGCTACCGGACACGGATAAACCGTTAACGTTGGCCGGTCGTCACGGTGGCCGGCGGCGGCCGGGGCGGTTGTTTATGCCATGTTTTGCAAACCGAGAGAGAGAGAGCGAGCGAGCGAGCATATGGTTCTTTTTATTGCGCACAAAGCAAAGCAGCCAATGAAAGGGTCAAAGCGAATTGCAGAAGTGTAGCAGAACTGCAGAAGTGCAGCAGAAAGTAGCACGACTGCGCTGGGACGCGTTCGTCATCATCTTCATGGGCAGAGAGATGTCAGAGACAGACAGAGGTTGGCCCGGGCCGGGCGCGGCGGCCGGCCGTCTGTACGCGGGAAACACGCTTGCATGCATCTCGCAGCAGGCCTGGGCGGCGCGAGGGCTCACAGGCCCCGCCCCTGGCCCCGGCTGTGCCCATCACCTCCTGCTCCGGCTCCGGCTCCGGCTCCGGCGCTCCGCCGGCTCCTCCTCCGTGCCTTGCATGTGCGTCTGCATGCGACCTCATTATTACTATTCTGCCTTTTTTAATTTAACGTCCGTTCAAGTCATTGATTGGCCCGGCCGGTGCACAGAGCCATGCACCACGCAGCACGTGCCGCCATGCGCGCCGTGTCCCCACCGTTGCATGATTCTGTTCGCACTTGCATTTCCACACAAAAAGGTCTTGTTGTCCTCCTGCCTTTTACTCCCTGATCTGAGAAACAACGGCCTTGGCCCTCTTATGGCAACGCGTCAGCAGTCACATATAGACCATCTCATACAGAAGCATATAGGATTTTTTATGATAGCTAAATTAAACGAGCGGAGAGGAGGGAGGTAATAGGAGAACGAAGTGGTTATTTTGTACGTGAAACAATCGTCTCATAAGCTAAAATATAGAATTGCATATATGAGATAACTTCTGCACAGTTATATGAGTTGTTGTCGTGTGACCCATACCATTCGTTTGTTCTATGCACCAATCAAGTGATTCTGAGTTACTACTCGACAACCCACGAGATAATAGCATTTCAATACACGAGTCGTTTAACAAATCGACTCAATATTACATGGCACTGCATGGACCATCTGTAACACAACGTTAATTTACTTACCAAATGCGGCGTGGATGATGTCCTCTTGCTACTACGTGTTAATGCCATGTCCAAATAAACGTAACAAAAATTTGACAGCAAAGTTAGACAGCTGAACTACTAGCTGCTTGGCAAGATCTATCACCCTTTAGATAATTATTATTAAATCTTATTACGTGGTTTTGTTTATAAAAACGTACTTCCATATATTCACAATCTTAGTTTTCACGTAAATATCAAATATCCTTGACTTTGCAGCAATATATATAAATCGTCAACATTCACATTTAACTACTACTACAGTCCTACTCCCTCCATCCTAAATACGTACGTATCTCAAAGCGATACTGCTTTGTAAGTTTGACTAAAATTATATAGAACACAAAGATTGATGACATCAAATAGGTATAATATGAAAATATAACTAATGAAGAATCTAATGATACTTACTTGGTATGATAAATATTATTATTTTGTTATATAAATTTGGTCAAACTTGAAAAACTTTGACTCTCCAAGATTCTTGGAATGACTTACAATTTGGGATGGAGGGAGTACATACGTACGTATCTCAAAGCGATACTGCTGTAATGTGACGGGAATGATTACTTAACGGAAATGAAACAATAAACAAGGCAGGGACGATTCCTTTCCCTTTCTCATTATCATCAGGAAGCATGTGCGTCACGCTCCTTGTCTAGCCCAACCCACGGAGGGCCGTCGGATCGCCGGAGCTCCGACGATCCGGCGGCTCGCCGCTCGCGGGGAGTATGGCCGACGCGCCACTTACGCCGCTCGCCTAATAAACTTGTGTTTCTTCGCTCGACATCAACGTGCACCCCCACCACTCGTCTTCCGGATCCTGCCCCCACCTTCCTCTCTCCTCACTCTAGCTAGGCTAGCTTCTCTGATTTCTCTCTCCTCTCGCCATGGATGGGTTGGGGTATATATGTGGGCTCGCAGGACCCGGCAGAGTAGCTGTTGTTTACCACAGCACAGTGTACTTCTTTGATCCCATACATACACACAGTGACTCCGATCCGGCACACAGAAGACGACGTCCATTGATCCCATAGCAAGCTAGTGCTTATTTGTACGATACAGAAACATCTAGCATCGATCAGTCGTAGTAGCAGCGGATCACTGCATCATGGGTTCTTGGGTGCGCACCATCACGTCGCCCTTCAGGAAGATGCTCAACCCGCAGCGGGACGGCAAGAAGACGCCGCGCCATCGCCGCCGCCACCACCACCACCACCAATCTCCTTCTCCTTCTTCATCAGGTAATTAAATGTCCTGGCTTGCTTGGGTTTTCATGGTGCTTGATCGATCAGTCTCCGATCCTTCTCTTACCGTCGATGAAATGGATGCTGATGGTGCTTCTCGACCATTGCTGCTACAGCCATGGAGCACAGCGGCGAGATGGAGAGGTCGCAGCTCTACGGCGAGGTGATGGCGTGCACGTACGAGGACGTGCAGGTCATGTGGTCCATTCTCGACAAGGCCAGGATCTGCAGCGGCGCCGCCTCGTGACCGCCACACAACAAACCTTCATCCATCCATCCGATCCGTCCGTGCCTGTCCATGGCGGCGAGCCGGCGAGACGGGATCGATCCAATCCACCAGTATATATACTCCTACGCAGCCATATTCTTCATTGCAAAGCAAGCTCTTGGCGAGACTACTGCGGCTATATACCTGCAGACTGCCGAGGCGGCATGCAACTTCTTATATTAGCTCTGAAACCCTTTGCAGTTGGTTTTGTGTGGCGTCGCATAGCATGTATGGTTGAGTCTGATGAATCCCCGTTGCTGGCACAGACACATGGATGATAGGATCATATGTGTGTGTGTGCGCGCTATCTTGGAGAGATTTAGTGACTGTACCACACTACCACAACACAACATTAGTATGTTGTTGCTTTTGAGGCCATCATGCATGTTCTGCTTCCACTTCTTTATCTTTGATGTCAGAGATGCATGCATGTATTCGTCACCCGATACATGCATGGGTTCATATAGTATTTCTGGAGATCTGAACTGGTTGCAGTGCAGTGCTGCACTAACTTTATTGCTCGGTTTATGTTTCTCAGTCATTTGGGAGAAATGGCCTCCTCTTCTCATAAGTCAATACGGTAGGATGTGGACACGGTGATAAAAGGGCTAACTCCCGCTACCAGTTTCTGATAATCGGGGAGTACTGCTTATTTCGTCACAAAAACAAAGCAAAACAAAAAAAAAAGAAAGAAAATATGTCAACATCTGTCATGTACCATGATATCTATGACAAGAATCACTCAACAATAACACCAATATTATTCACTTAAATCATGGTACAGTCTAAGAGGATTTAGAGGGAATTAAGTAAGAGAAGCAGAGGAATCTATAAGGTAGCATCAAGCACAGGTAAGAGGAGGAAGATGACTTCGTCAGTTCTGTTGGATGCCTCGTTCTGATTCTGCCTGAATATTTAATTTATATCCACCCCATTCCTGTCCCAACAAAGGGCCTCCGAACTGCTTTCAGTGGGCTAGTTAGTAAGATGAAGAAAAGGTTACAACCTTGGAAAGGGGGTAATATGACATCTGGAGGAAGGTTGATCCTAACAAACTCCACTCTTAGCAGCTTACCTACTTACACAATGGGAGTTTACAGATTACAGGAGAGTGTTCACCAGCAGTTTGACTCAGTAAGGGCCAAATTTTTTTGGCAAGGTGCTTCGGATAAATTTAAATACCACATGATGAAGTGGGAGAATCTATGTATTCCTAAGGATTATGTGGGCTTTAGCTTAGGGATAATAGAGACTAGGAGAATGAATGATGCCTTACTAGGGAAATGGGGCCTGGAGAATGTTACAAGCTAAGGAGGAGGATATGGTGTATCAGCTTCTCAAAATGAAATATTTCAAGAATAAGTCGTTTATACAGTGTAAGAAAGACAAAGGGTTTCTTCGCAAAAAAAAAAAAAAGACAAAGGGTCGTCTCAGTTTTGGAAAGGGGTTGTCAATATTAGAGATCTTCTGCATTGGGGCTGTAAAACAAATGTAGGCAATGGTATGAGTGTTTTGTTCTGGGAGGATGTTTGGGTTGGTGATATTCCTCTTAAGTTGGAGTTTCCAAGTCTATATGAAATCTGCAGTGAAACTAATGTGGTGGTTAGAGATTTTTGGGAAGGTGATGGCTGGAATATCAGATCTAGAAGGGCTTTAGGAGGGGAGGATATTCTGGAGTGGGATAGGCTCATGGTTTTATTAGATGATTATGTTCTGAATGAGGAACCTGATACTTTCAGTTGGATCTTAGAGAAATCACAGAGCTATTCAACTAAATCTATGTACAGGTATATGTCTTTTCGGGGTATTACAAATGACAGGATGAAGAATTTTTTGAAACGGAGGATGAAGAAATTGTGAAAAACCAAGCTACCTATGAAGATCAAGGTTTTCATGTGGCAGGATAGACTTCAAACTGGGGTGAACTTGAAAAAGGAAAAATGGAAGGGGAGCAGCAAATGTTTTTTTTTTTGAAGAATCTGGAGGGGCCAAGGCCCCTACAGTAATTTATTGAAAAAGAACCAAAAGAGTTTAAGCAACAGTACAGGCTAACGAAAAAAGAAAGGGAGAACAACATCACAGAGCAGGGAGCAAACTAAGAGACAAAAAAACTCAAAAAGAAAATCAACAACAGGAGACAATCTATTCTAGACTTCGGATCCATGTGATCAGCTGCTCTTCCTGTCCTGTCTTCACTTGATGCTAAAGAAGCAAGAGTTCTCTGAAGAAAACACGTCTGCATCCAGGCAGATCTATACTGACACCTTTGAAGATAAGGTCATTTCTTGCTGTCCAGATAGTCCAACACATAAGAATTATGGCCTCCATCAAGAACTGAGAATTAAGTTGAATCTTCAACTGAGCAGAAAGCTCAGGGAAGTTGCTGCCCAAAGGGATGTCAATGCTTATTATGTCCCTGTTCAACTGATTCTTCCACCAGACGATTGCACAAGACACAATATAGGAATCCAGATGCATGTTCCTTCTTCTCAGAATGTTTCTGGTGCTAAGTCTGCCATTGAGTAGAAGCCAAAAGAAGACTTTATGTTTAGGGCTGACATCTGCTCTTCCATAGCCATTTGAAGGTGGGGTGAATATCTGTATGTCCAACTAGAATTTTATAGACTTTGGCCAAGGCAAAGATGTTGGATCCCCAGGAATACAACCAACCGTCATTATCTCATACTCTTATAAAGCTAAAACCCACTAGAGATTTCTCTCACCATGCAAACTATCCACATCAACAATCCATTAGAACTTGCAATTATAGCCAACTAGCACATGTAATTATGATAGTTATCTCTTCATCCACTAACATGTATTTAGCTATCCACATCGATGTGTCAAATCATTCACCAAAATTAATTTAAGATAGTTTTATTCATATAACTATAAATATAAATAGTCTAATTTCTTTTTAAATTATCTGGAATCCCCACAGCAATGCGCGGGGTATTCTCCTAATTGTCACTAAGGGCATACTTTCAATCAAGTGCTGAATGTCTTGCAATTGCAGAAAGGTTGAGACAGTGGTAACTGAAACAAATCTAAAAATACCTCATGACTGAAAGCTTTCTGAACTAAAATCAGTTTGTTCTTTGCAAAGGAGAAAAGCTCAAGAGCTGACGCAGCCAGGGACTGATTATTCCAAGTGTCATACCAAAATAGTGCACTCTCTCCATTCTCCACATGAGGACTAGCAATAAGTTTAAAGTCTGGAAGAAATTTCAGGGTATCCCTCCACCAAAAGGAGCCCTTTTGACATGGTTTGGCAGCTTCCCATTTCTGTAATGCTTCTCCCAGATCAGATTGACCCATGGGAGGTCATTTTTGTTGAACAACTTATGAAAGTTTTTAATGAGGAGCGCCTTGTTTTGCTTCTCAATGTCAATAACTCCCAGGCCACCTTCTTCCTTGGGTTTGCATACCATCTTCCAAGCTGCCTTTGGTGGTTTCCTTGCATTTATATCTGGTCCCCTCCATAAGCAATGCTTCGAGTATTTATCAATTTGCTTGATAACGGCCTTTGGAAGGACTAGGGTACACAAGAAAAAAGTGGGCAGGGAAGAGAGGACTACATTTGTCATGTGTAGACGGTCTGCCTGGTTCAAGAAACAGGATATTCCTGTTAGCCTTTTTTCACATCTGTCAACAATTGGGAGCAAATCTTGAGCCCTTGGCCTAGCAATGCTTAAGGGCAAGCCAAGGTAAGTGAAGGGAAAACTGTCTTTAGAGCAACCAAAAGTTATGGCCAGAATTTCAAGCCTCTCATTTGACAAATTAATAGGTATCATTATTGATTTGCTGAAGTTTACCCTAAGACCAGTACTCATTGAAAAGCTATTTAACAATGACCTGAGGAAAAAAGCTGCCTTGTGTCACCTTCTGCAATAATCAGTGTATCATCCGCATATTGTACTATAGGAAAATCATTGGCTGTGCCAGTTGGTATTGGAAGTTGCAAGAGGCCCATATCCTTGGCCTTGTTTATCATTGATTGTAAGAAATCTGCTGCAAGAACAAATAATAGGGGGAACAAGGGGTCACCTTGCCTAACCCCCCTTTTGCAGTGGAAAGTTTTCCCAGGAACCCCATTAAGCAGCACAGATGAGGTGCTGAAGAAAAAATGTCCTGCATCCATGTTAACCATTTCTGCCCAAACCCTTTGGCCTCCATCAAAGTAAGCATGTCCTGGTGCTCAATTTTATCAAATGTCTTTTCAAAGTCTAACTTTATGATGACAATCTCCTTTCTTGAATGGTGGCAAAGATGAAGATATTCATATGACCAAGCCAAATAATTCTGAATTGTTCTATTTCTCATGAATCCATACTGATTCCTATGAATTAAAGAAGTTATGATGGGTTGCAACCTGTTTGCAAGCAGCTTAGTGACCAACTTGACTGAGGAGTTGAGAAGAGATATTGGCATGAACTGATCTAAAATTGTTCTTGCCCCATCAACTTTTGGGATAAGAGTGATGTAGGAGGAGTTGATACTCTTAAGACACACTGAATTATTGTGGAAGGCCTGATAGAGATTATAGAAGTCCTGCTTGATGACAGGCTAGCTTTTCTTCATGAATTCATTATTAAACCCATCTGGCCTAGGTGATTTATCATTTGGGAGGGCCTTAAAAAACTGTCAATTTTATTCTAGGTAAATGGGGCTTCTAGAAGATCAAGATGATTGCTTCTTTGAATGAAGAAGCTTGGGTTAACAGTAAACTCAGAAAATTCAGAGGTGCCCAACCTAAATTTGAAATCATCCCAAAGGACCTGCTCTTTCCCTCTATGATCACTGACTACTACCCCTTCTTTGGAAACAAGTTCAACAATTGAATTTCCCCTATGCCTTATAGTAGCACTGGCATGAAAGAAGCTTGTACCTGCATCACCAAACTTTATCCATTTGACTACACCTCTTTGCTTCTAGTAAATTCTCTGTTGCTCAAGGAGTTCTAATAAATGATTTTTAAG